GGAGTGTGTTTGACCGATCCCATTGAAATTTTGTGTCATAACTACTATTTTTTAGGACTAACCTTGGTGCAAATTTCATCCCGATCGGAAGACATAGATTTCAAAAGTTGGGTCACTTGAGGTGAAATGCCCCATATGTATATTTTTGATATTTGCTTAAGCCAAGGTTTCACCCTGGGTTATGCCATGCATTTTGGTGACAGTCGATTGTCCACGAGAAGCTTTTACAGGGTGAAATTATATTCGAAAGTTATCCACTGACTGCCGAGTACACTTTTCCTCAGCTTCTTTTTTGGAGTTTGTTTTTATTAAAGAATATCCATAAGTATTGAAAATTTACACGAAAAAAGTAGGAAATAATGAAAATGTTTTTAATACGAGTACTACATACACAAATAGATCCCTTCACTGGATTAGATAGTGAAGCAAAGCGAATGGGTCTGGTGGTGGTGAACGAGGACAAAACAAAGTATATCCTGTCATCACAAAAACAGTCAGAGCGTACGCGTCTGGGCACACACGTCACTGTTGACAGTTACTACTTTGAAAAAGTAGACAACTTCGTTTATTTGGGAACCAGCATTAACACCAATAATAATGTCAGTTGGCACAGAAGAGAAATGGCTGGTCTGCTGTTTCGGACTCGGCCAAAAACGCCTACAGGCTAACCTAACATTCGCGGCTTGCGTTTTGGTACGCATGCCGTCGAATTTGTTTTTTTGCGTCACCCGAAATTGACTTCCATGCGTTTGCATTTGATTTCATTGAGCGAAACGTCAAATCAAAATGTCACGCAGAACAAAAATTGGAAATTGAGTTAGCTTCATACGCACGCCGTTCAATTTCGGTTGATCTCATACAAGTTGCATGTGCATGAGAAATTTTTGACAATAAATTGGCGGCGTGCGTGAATATTAGGTTAGCCTGTTAGGCGGCTATAGCGCCAATAAAGAAGAATAAGAAAACTACATAGATAATGTGCACTATAAAATATTTTGACGACATAACTTGGTTCTAACTTCGGCAATAAAACAGTTTATGTCACAACGCGTTGGCACGGCTGAGGTCCAATTTTGGGGTAATTCCATTTATATAATAGTTGTTTAGGATGTTGTGGAAATGGTCTTGGATTGGCAGTTTAAATTGCATTTTCAAATGCAAGGGCAAATGCACAAGATCCTGAACTGCCCTATATTACTTTTCTGTTTTCCAATTTATGACATGTGCATTTCCATAGTGAAAATAAGCCTCAAGAAGCACAATTTCTCTTCTCAATTAATTTTAGTTCTTAAGTTGCTATATCTACGAATACGCACTACTTATGTATATGTAGTAAGAACGCTTAAAATTTAAATCTAAAGCTGCCATTACACGGGGCGACTTTCCAGTCGACAGAAATCGACCCGTTTAAAGGCAGCTTAAGTGGAAACGTATGTGCATACATACGGAATAACATACATATGCATAACAATCGAAGACACGCACTTAAAAGAGCAATATAAATTAGCTTTTGACATTTTCTGAACATTTCATCGAAATAAAATGAATTGAATATTGCTTGAAAGTAATAATATTATACTTTAAACTCGGCAAAGCTGATAAGTAGACACAAGTACAGTAGTAAAAAAATTAAAAAAAGTAGTGAAGATAAGACCAATTAAAAAAGTCAGCTTTAATCTGAAATCGGGATCATAAAAAAAAAAAATAAAAGGAAGTAAAAATACAGTTAGAAACACAATTTTTCGATTGAAAAGAGCGCGGGAAAAAATAAGCAGATGGCTGCTAGAGAAGGTGCGTGTAAACTTAGATCACAGTAGATAATCTTGAAATGTGCTTCGGTAGCTGTGCGCGATCGGTCCCACCGCTCGCGGAAGTCGTTATTCGAAATAGTATTTGATGAATTGCTTGAACCCCAAAAATCCCTACCTGCGTTCGCCCCTGATATGGATCTTTAGAATTATTTCAACTTGGTATAAAAATATAACTTGGGTTATAACAAAAGTCGTTCAAAAAGTGTAAGCAACAACGTTTTCAAGATTTTATAAAAAGAGCAGAGTTGATAAAGGCTCAGCTGACTTATGAATTATCTCCCTTGAGTCTTTGAAAGACTACTTCTGGATCACAGTTGGCAAGTTCTAAAAACTTTAACTGACAGCACATTGGAAGATAAGNGTTTTCCAATAATTTATAATATTTTTATTTTTCGTCTAAAAATTATTATAAATATCAATTTTGAGTGAATTATCTTCAGTAGTTACTAAAATATCGCAGTTTTCGTATTTCTGGAAATTACCGTTATATGGGAAGTGGGCGTGGTTAAAGTCCGATTTCGCCCATTTTCAATACCAACCTACCTTGGATTAAGGGAAACCTACATACCAAATTTCGTTGAGATATCTCAATTTTTGCTCGAGTTATCGTGTACACGGACAGACGGACAGACGGACAGACGGACAGACGGACGGACAGACAGACATGGCTTAATCGATTTCTTTTTTCATCCTGATCATTTATGTATACATTTGTCTATATCTATCTCGATTCGTTTTGGCTGTTACAAACAACCGTTATGTGAACAAAATTAATATACCCTTGTGCACAAGTGCGCTCGGGTATAAAAACTCGGCCTAAACAACGCCCGATGATATATGTGCCACACACAACAGCACTATTAATTCCAAAATTGCCGCAACGCGGCATATAATTCTTAAAAACACCCGCACCACACTAACTAACTTTGCTTGCTTGCTAAAACAACACTCTGAGTAATGATGTTCGAGGCACAAAAATACTCTACTGCAACCCGAACCAACCTGGTGTCGTTGATGTGCGTGGAGTTTTCGGAGTCATTGGTGAGTCTGTCGGTTCATGCTCCGGTATAATGCCATTTGTTTTCAACATTAACTTCGGACGCGTAAAGGAGATTGGCGGTGTTGTAATGACTGCATCGTAGGCGAAGGAATTACTGAGACCAGCACCAGCACCAGCACCAGTAGCAGCAGCACCACCACCACCATTAGTAGGAATTGCATTGATGCCATTCGGTGTTGTAGCAGCACCACCAACAGCGTTGGCAGTGGCCGTCACAGCAGTCGTTGTCACTTCATCTGTCTGCGAGAGGGCGCGATCCATAAGCGGTGTTATGCCCGAAGCGGAACTTGTCGAACAAACGCTATTGTTGCGTCCACGTGATATGATATGCGCCTGCGGGAAATTGGTGTCGTCAATGGCTTCATTAAGTTCACTGGCACTCATTTCCGATAGTTGGCGCGTGAAATTCATTTTCGACTTGAGATGAGTGTTGAGTTGAAAGCAGACGTTAAGAAGGCTGGTTAGTTGGACCAGAGGTGGTTTACGTTGCTGTTGTTGTTTTGCTTTATTTCTTATCACTTCAATAGATAGATAGTGTTGCAAAAAAAATACTAATAGCAATAAACAATTTGTACTTTTTGCTTGCTTGAAATGCCCTTTTTTGTTATTTATATAATATTGTTGTAGTAGTTCTTTGTATTTATTTTGTACGTAGCAGCAATTTTCACTAAAGGCACACAAAAAAATAATAATACATAAACCTATATATGTATGTATGTAGAAACAAAAATGCACTTCATATAATTTGTAAATACAAAAATAAGTATAAAGTAAGTTTATTAAGAACTAATATTTATTTAACACTGTCACTATTATGAATGTCTATAGTCTTCGCGTACGCGCCTACGAGCTGTATGTGTTATGCGTGTGTGTTTGCGATGAATATTAAAATGAAATTAGCTGCGTGCACACCGCTGTAGCTGGCTTTTATACAAATATTGCAATTTCAAGATTTTCTTCTTATTTTTTAATCTCACAAATCTGCATCAATCTGAAATTTCTTCTCATACACAACTCACTATACTACTTTGGTGTCGAAACACTCACTAGCTGCTGTGGCGCAGCTTTATAACTTGTATTTATTTTTATTTTAAATTTGACGGTACGATTTGTTAGCTGCGAGAGCGTTTTACGTTTTCACACCTTCTCGTTTTAAAATACCGCCAAGCACTAAATTTTCTTATGAGATTTCTCTGGCCGTGACGCTGAGATGGCGCTCAGCTAAATCAAAAATATTGGAAAAAAATAAACTTTTTGAAAATATTTTTTATGTTGAGGTACTATTCATGTAGGTATATACATATGTTAACAAAGCAAAGCTTAAAATATTTAACAAAGCTTTAGTGAACAACAAGCAAAGAGAAATCAAAGCGAAGAGAATGATGCTGTGGGCCACATATATATATATATATATATATATATATATATATATATATATATATATATATATATATATATATATNGTACATATGTACGCATGCACATTTGTGTGTCGCTCCACTTGACGCCGCACTTTGTTAACAGTCGCCAAATGGGTGGCATGAGGCGCAACAAGTCGGCTGTTAAGTAAACAGATGGCAGGCACATCCACAGTTGACACCGCTGTTGGTATTTTAAGATGCTCAATGCAAACTTTTTAATTATACTCCAAAAATAATAATTTTAGTACAATAATGTGCAAGATTGAAGTTACTAAAAATTGCGTTGAGTTTTGGGAATTTTTTTNCGCCGCACTTTGTTAACAGTCGCCAAATGGGTGGCATGAGGCGCAACAAGTCGGCTGTTAAGTAAACAGATGGCAGGCACATCCACAGTTGACACCGCTGTTGGTATTTTAAGATGCTCAATGCAAACTTTTTAATTATACTCCAAAAATAATAATTTTAGTATAATAATGTGCAAGATTGAAGTTACTAAAAATTGCTTTGAGTTTTGGGAATTTTTTTCCTTGACAGTGTAAAGCAGGTGCATATTTTGAGAGATTTCTGCAACCTTGCGGACTGCTGCCAGCTTTTGTTTTTATTTCTTTTAACATTTTCGCTATTAGTACTTTTTATAGATCATATATTTTGCAATTTAACACAATAAAACCACGTTTCCTGTCGCAAAATTTATTATTGAGAAAATTTATTATTTTACAGTTTATTTTATCCTCCCATTCGGCTTTATTTACTATGTGGTAGATTTCAGACCTTGTGTGGTAGATGCTCAAAAAAGTGGCAGATCTAGCGCAATGTGGTAGAAGTCCGATCCCTGGTTAGTATGCTGTAAATACCGGCGTTGTTATTTGATAAATAAATTTATACATTTGTTTGTACGTATTCAGTCAAAATTGCTATGTACATAAGCAGAAGATCTGATTTGGCCAATTTACACGCTTGGCTTGCTATTATTTNCCTGGTTAGTATGCTGTAAATACCGGCGTTGTTATTTGATAAATAAATTTATACATTAGTTTGTACGTATTCAGTCAAAATTGCTATGTAGAAAAGCAGAAGATCTGATTTGGCCAATTTACACGCTTGGCTTGCTATTATTTGCTTGTTTGCATTTGCAGAAAATTCTCTCATGCTCCTCATACTTTACACATAGGTACATAAGCTCTACAGAACTCACCAACAGCTCTACCATTTTGTTGACTGACCACGCCATTTTTCTTGATGCGTTTAAGTAGTAGGTGGCCATTCTTCTTGAAGGTTAGCGAGCTAAACACATACATACATACATAAATATGTACATACCCTGCAGAAAAAAAGTATTAATCAGGGACGGAAAATAATCATTATTTTTTTAAATTTTAACCAAAGAAATCAACAAGCTGTAATCGTCGTACAACAGTTTTAACTATACTAACGTATTTGTATTCGGCCGTCCTACCGTACTTTACAATGATTTTTATTTTTCGCGTTTAACCAATAATAATTAATATTTGAGTTTTATTTTTTCGCTCAAAGGAAGTTATTANGCTACAGAACTCACCAACAGCTCTACCATTTTGTTGACTGACCACGCCATTTTCCTTGATGCGTTTAAGTAGTAGGTGGCCATTTTTCTTGAAGGTTAGCGAGCTAAACACATACATACATACATAAATATGTACATATATATATATATATATATACATATGCACATACCCTGCAGAAAAAAAGTATTAATCAGGGACGGAAAATAATCATTATTTTTTTTAATTTTAACCAAAGAAATCAACAAGCTGTAATCGTCGTACAACAGTTTTAACTATACTAACGTATTTGTATTCGGCCGTCCAGTTTCAGTTGCTGCCGTCTGTATGACATTTTAAATTTTATAGATAATCATTATTTTTAAGTGGATAAATAAAACTCAACAATAATCATTCGGCTTTATCATGAATTTCATTTCCCCCGAACCGGTTCACTTTTTACTTTTGGTTTCCATGGCGCGTATTCATAGTCCAGCAACTAAGNCTCGATTTTTATTTTTTTTATCAAAAATAATCAGCTTTATCATGAGTTTCATATTCGCCGAACCGGTTCACTTTTCACTTTCCGTTTCCATGTATTTACTATAGGCGGATGAAAAATTTTCGGGTGAATTTTTTTTGGGCGAAATTGAGGATATGGCAGATTGATTATGATATGATAATAAGAAATAAAGTTCAGTATATCTTCACCTAAGACTAATAATTCAAGAAACTCAAAAACTTTACCAGCGTGATTTCCGAGGAATCCTTTTCAGAGGTAGAGACATCCGAATAAAAGGAATAAGGCCCAAAATTTTCAGGTAAAAATTTCAGTTGCTGCCGTCTGTATGACATTTTAAATTTTATAGATAATCATTATTTTTAAGTGGATAAATAAAACTCAACAATAATCATTCGGCTTTATCATGAATTTCATTTCCCCCGAACCGGTTCACTTTTTACTTTTGGTTTCCATGGCGCGTATTCATAGTCCAGCAACTAAGTCGAAACTA